AAATCTTAGGAGTTATCTGACAGAAAATCACTTTCCTTTCGCATATCCTAAATCTAAAGAAAAATGTGCTAAGCTCTCACATACTGAAGTCCTGGCCAATACTTCATGGGGAGCAGAACGTTGTTCTATGCTCCCATTTATAGCGCCTTAATCCGTTCCAAACTTGACATGGCTGTGTTATCTACGGATAAGCAACCTTCTGTGCTCCTAAATTGGATCCTCCACCATCAAGCCTACGGATTTGCTGTGGAGCCTTCAGAACATCTCCAGTCCAAGTTTATATGTTCATCTGTTTTGAACCATTGGATTCACAGCGAGCAGTTGTCCATTGATCAAATTAATGTCACAGGCCAACATTACTGTCCGACTTATACATCTGATCAGTACTGGCGTCTTTACCATGCCCGTCCTTCTTGTATTCCACCTTTTGATCTTCGCATTCACTCTCTGATTGAAGAATTTAACCTAAATGATCTGCATCCCAAAAGCTTTGAACTTTTCGGTATTGCTCCCTGGCAAGGAGTGAACATTCACCTACTTAACATTTTTGGAGAACCGATAATATCCAATACCAACAAATTTTCCTAGAGCATAGAAGCAGTTATTCTAACTACAAAGCAATTTTTACTGATGGCTCAAAGAATCATGATTACGTCGGGGCAGCTTTTGTTTGTGATAATGAAATAAAGAGTAGTAAACTTCATAAGGCTGCATCTGTCTTTACTTCGGAAACTTTTGCCATTTTGAATTCCTTAATCTTTATCTCTAGACAGAATCGCAGAAAGTTCATCATCTACTCTGACTCTCTGAGTGCTCTTGAATCAATAAATACAAATACTGGCCACCCTTTGGTCTTAGAAATTTTAAAGGCACACCTCCGTTTGAGAAACGCAGGTTATTATATTGCGTATTGCTGGGTGCCTGGACACGCTGCCATCAAAGGCAATGAACTCGCCGATATTGCAGCAAAATCTTTTGATATTACCTCAGAAAATGATGTCCCTTTTACAGACATACGGAATTACATTAGAACAAAGGTCTTGTTCAGGTTTCAAGAATTCTGGGAATGCCAAACTCTGAACAAATTAAGGCAGCTAAAACCCAATTTGGAGTACTGGGAGTCAAGAGGGAAACGGAAGGAGGATGTACTACTGACTCGCTTACGAATTGGTCAGACTGACAGACACATCAGTACCTCTTGAAAGGAGATAATTAATGAGCCTATTTGTGGCACTTGCAACGTTCCCATTTCAGTCAATCACATTTTAACCTGCTGTCCTGCTTTTAGTCAGAAATGTGAATTTTATTTTACGAATGTTAACTTAACAGATCTCATTGGAAGAAACCCTCACATCAACCTCATAAGTTTTTTAAAAGACATCTTCTTTTACCATTTTTATCCTGCTTTACCTGTTGCTAGAGCATTTTTCAGTCATTTCTGCCTGGACATTTTGAAGACAAAAGAAATCTACATCCTGATCCAGAGCTGCATCTTGACGGCTCTTTGATCCGCGTTGAGCCAGAAGCAAAAATCTTAGGAGTTATCTTTGACAGAAAACTCACTTTCTTTCCGCATATCCTAAATCTAAAGAAAAAATGTGCTAAAGCTCTCAACATACTGAAAGTCCTGGCCAATACTTCATGGGGAGCAGAACGTTGTTCTATGCTCCGCATTTATAGAGCCTTAATCCGTTCCAAACTTGACTATGGCTGTGTTATCTACGGATCAGCAAGACCTTCTGTGCTCCTGAAATTGGATCCAGTCCACCATCAAGCACTACGGATTTGCTGTGGAGCCTTCAGAACATCTCCAGTCCAAAGTTTATATGTCATCTGTTTTGAACCATCTTTGGATTTCAGACGCAAGCAGTTGTCCATTGATCAAATTAATGTCACAGGCCGAACATACTGTCCGACTTATGACATCTGATCAGTACTGGCGTCTTTACCATGCCCGTCCTTCATGTATCTCACCTTCTGATCTTCGCATTCACTCACTGATTGAAGAATTCAACCTAAATGATCTACATCCCAAAAGCTTTGACCTTTTCGGTATTTCTTCCTGGCAAGAAGTGAACATTCACCTACTTAACATTTTTGGAGAACTAAAGAAGATCAGTACCAATGATATCCAATACCAACAAATTTTCCTAGAGCATAGAAGCAGTTATTCTAACTACAAAGCAATTTTTACTGATGGCTCAAAGAATCATGATTACGTCGGGGCAGCTTTTGTTTGTGATAATGAAATAAAGAGTAGTAAACTTCATAAGGCTGCATCTGTCTTTACTTCGGAAACTTTTGCCATTTTGAATTCCTTAATCTTTATCTCTAGACAGAATCGCAGAAAGTTCATCATCTACTCTGACTCTCTGAGTGCTCTTGAATCAATAAATACAAATACTGGCCACCCTTTGGTCTTAGAAATTTTAAAGGCACACCTCCGTTTGAGAAACGCAGGTTATTATATTGCGTATTGCTGGGTGCCTGGACACGCTGCCATCAAAGGCAATGAACTCGCCGATATTGCAGCAAAATCTTTTGATATTACCTCAGAAAATGATGTCCCTTTTACAGACATACGGAATTACATTAGAAAAAGGTCTTGTTCAGGTTTCAAGAATCTGGGAATGCCAAACTCTGAACAAATTAAGGCAGCTAAAACCCAATTTGGAGTACTGGGAGTCAAGAGGGAAACGGAAGGAGGATGTACTACTGACTCGCTTACGAAATTGGTCAGACTGACGACACATCAGTACCTCTTGAAGGAGATAATTAATGAGCCTATTTGTGGCACTTGCAACGTTCCATTCAGTCAGTCACATTTAACCTGATGTCCTGCTTTAGTCAGAAATGTGAATTTTATTTTACGAATGTTAACTTAACAGATCTCCTTGGAAGAAACCCTAATCAACCTCATAAGTTTTTAAAAGACATCTTCTTTTACCATTTTTATCCTGCTTACTGTTGCTAGAGCATTTTCAGTCATTCATTTCTGCCTGGACATTTGAAGACAAAGAAATCTACATCTGATCCAGAGGCATCTGAGACGGCTCTTGATCCGCGTTGAGCCAGAAGCAAAAAATCTTAGGAGTTATCTTTGACAGAAAACTCCTTTCTTTCCGCATATCCTACATCTAAAGAAAAAATGTGCTAAAGCTCTAACATACTGAAAGTCCGGCCAATACTTCATGGGGAGAGAACGTTGTTCTATGCTCCGCATTTATAGAGCTTTAATCCGTTCCAAACTTGACTATGGCTGTGTTATCTACGGATCAGCAAGACCTTCTGTGCTCCTGAAATTGGATCCAGTCCACCATCAAGCACTACGGATTTGGTGGGAGCCTTCAGAAACATTCCAGTCCAAAGTTTATATGTCATCTGTTTTGAACCATCTTTGGATTTCAGACGCAAGCAGTTGTCCATGATCAAATTATGTCATTTCTCCATGCCGTCTCAGATTCGGTTTTATTTCATCAATTCACTGTGAGCGGTGTGTTTATGCATCTTGTTTTTCTGACCATTTGTGGCGCATAACAAACCTCGAGGTTTTTGTGCATTTAAAAATCAACCATCAACCAACAAAAATGATTCTAATTAATTAATAGATGTGTTTATTATCACTCTTTATTAAATCATTTGAATGAATTTGATCATTAAGTTCATGCTATTTCTTGGTAGAACTCTGGATAAGTGTGATGTTTATAATTTGTTGTTTTTGAGACTGGGTACTAAAATTTGTCAATGTGAAATTACTTTGAATATTGGTCGTATAGAAATGACAGCATATGAAATAAACTCTTTTTGGTGCTTTAATATGTATGTTTGCCAGTGAGTGAAGAATTGTCATAATCTGTCAGCAAATGAAAAATCATTAAAAGTAATTACTTCTGGCAGTAGACGTGGATGAAACTTACATCTATGACATCTCAAAGCAGAACAGAGTTTAATTTGAATTACCCATGTCATATAAACATACCAGTTTGCAGAATTATCCACAAAACTTCCTGAAAGTTAGTGCTTACTTTGAACTGTATTCTCTCGAGTGTAAACTCCATTTCCCCCCCAGAAAAAGCATATGAAATTCAGGGGTGCGGCTTATATATGCAAATGATTAGAAATAGATACATACAAACAGTTGGCAACACAGCAAAATGTATTTAATGATTGAGCATAAATACATTGTTGGGCGAACATTTCATAGTATTGTACAAGATTAGTTGTGGTTGCTGGTTATGTTGACCAGTTGTGGGATACTAGTACTATAGTATTAATTGATACTGGTAGTGCAGCCAACTACTGTAGTGATCGACAGTGACAGTGAATAATGGAGTGCTAAGCACAGAAACATGTTCCTTTTGATTGAAATTTAAAAAAAAAAAAAAAATAATGTATGGTAAGTACTGTTTTCCGCTTAACTGCTTTCAAACCCGTAAAAGGAAAAATATTAGATAGAGGCTATCTGTCGTCTCTCAAGTTTTTTTTTTTTTTTTTTTAGGCGATTAGAATATCGTAGTTTCCTCAAGAAAATACATATAAATTGAAGAAGGTTTATATATATATAAATATGCATGTGCATGTTATGTAGAGGAGTATACAGTGCAATGCAGAGAAATTCCATAATGCTTGCACGAAATATGTGCCAACAAGTATTGGTCTTTCCAAAAAAATATCTCTAGACGATTTCGTTCTTTTTCCTTTTTTACCTTCTTCCGTTGCTTCTTGGCTAATAAGAAGGGCAGATAAAAGAGCATTCGGTTGAGCTAGTAAAACTTTGTGGTGAGCTGGAAAAGCCATGACACAAAATAATGAAAACAAGCAGATCGAACGTGGAAAATCAATCGAGCGGGAAAACAGCGCGCGAAAGGTGTAGACACATCCACGCATGCGCAAATTTAGCTTCTCTCATTTGCCACAGCTTAAACCCCGTCTCCCAGGTGTAAACGGAACTCCCGTATTTTATGACCTTATGACTGTGCCCTTTATGCCGTCGTCTGAACGCAGCCTTACAGCAGTAAAGGCAGTCTTAGACCAATATTCCCCCCTTTTTTTGGAGGGGGTCATCTTTTTCAGTCGGTTCGGGAATAGAAGGACTGATTCTGTACAAGTGTTCGAAGCTTCACCTTATGTTCCAGTGTTATGCCAATCAAAACGTAAATTGAACCGATGAAATCAGCTGTTATTTGCGACGAAGCATTTCTTATTGTCATTACTTGAATTGCGTATGCAAAATCTATTTTGGCTTCATTATAGAAAGTTTTTTGAACAGCAGGGCAAATTTTGACCATTACGTTGCATGGTTTTATATTAATTTAATCACTGTTATCTTTTTATTTTGCATATACTATAATTTCTACTTTCGTCCACTCCCACCAGAATGCATATTACTTAAAGTATTTAAGCCCAGAATTCTTAAGTTTGGGAGAGAGCTTTCAGAAACTATGACTGACTGTTAAGGCCTGTCCACACGAGGACGCTCCCGACGTAGTTGACGTAACTTTTTTGACGCCGGCGTAAATTCGCAGGACGCAGAAGACGTAAAACTGAGTACGCTCCTGTCAAGGCCAACTTATACTCAAGGCCTGCCAGTGTGAAAATATTCTTTTGTGTTTTCGGTTGCCTGCGTGATATTCTTACTGACCGCAAGATGGCGCTACAATTCTGCTGCACTTTGCGATGTTTACAAAATTCGGAAAAGTACCAAAAACGAATTCTGTCTTGTTATATGCAAAGTTTAGAAAATATTAATCTATAGTAGTGAGATATTGTTGATTTCTTTATAGTAAACATATTTAATTAGAATGAAAAATGGAATTTTAAGCTATCTCACCTTTTTTTTTTCACACATAAATACCAGCTATTTGATCTCGATTTTAATTCCTGCTTTCATCTAGACATGCGCTATTCTGAATTGTACGCATTACAACTATTTACTCTAATTTAAAGGTAATTCAGAGTATACACCTTATTTTTTAATTATTTATATAGTAAGAAGTTAACAGATAGCTTCAGATCATGTACTATTTCAGTGAAAAATTTTCAAAATATTTCTATCGGCTGTACTGGGCCAAAAAATAATTTAGCATCCCCTATGAAAGATGTAATTAACATATTTTGGAGTAAAAATATTAAAGAGATTAATAAATTAAAATATTAAAGAGATTAAAGTAAAAATATTACTTAAAGAGATTAAATTTTACATACTGAAGAATTTTTTTAAATTATTAAATAACTGTTTTTAGGAAATCTTAAACAATGCAGATTTTGATCTCTGTGCAGTATTTGCATTGCAGACATTCTAAAAGTATTAGGCCCCCCCCCAAAAAAAAGTCTTACTGTGGCATAGATTTTGAATGAATTTCAAACCCAAAGTTGCTTTTTTGACTAATTTTAATATTACACAGGTGTTTTTCTCTTCACTTTCATTTGTGTTCTAAATTTCATTGATGTTAACATTAAGAAACTAGTAATTGAATTAAGTGCATTGCAGCAATTTACATTTTCAGTGTTTTAGAGAAACTTCAATTTTTCAAATGAAATAATGAAATTTTTGATAAAGCTATTGATCAAATCAATCTGTTTGTTATAAATAAAAGAGACACAGACATCATAAACAATATATTTAACAGCACACAAAAAAATAATAATACTCATAATTACAATATATGATTGAGAAAACGTTCAGTTCTGTATATCAAGGATTAAAATTTGAAAACTAGCAATGGCTGAATATAAATATATATCCATCACACATGCCCACAATGCTAAGTAGAATGAGTATATCACAATTTAGATATATATGCATTTAAAGTTAGGCAAAAAAAACAAGCTTATTAAATGCATCACTTAAATATACAGCAGGTAGACATTTTTACCACATCACAACATTTATCAGAATGACATGTGTACAAAATTTTATGGCTGGCAGCGTGAGATACTGATATAGTTCATTATCAAGAATAATGTATACATGAAATCAAATTACTGAATTTCACAAAACAATATTATCACTATTAAGCACACATATACATGAGTGCCATCTTGATACATTACCTACATGCAACTACCTGATATAAATCCATCTGTACCATTCCCATTCCAGATTAATCAGAAGAAAGTTCCACACAAAATTTTGGAAATGACAGCATTGGATGCACAAGCATTTCAGAATTAAATAAGCAAAATGATAATTTCAGAACTGAGTACAATGAGGTATATACACAATTTTAAACCTATATGCAATAAAGTTAGGCAAAAACAGCCAAGCTTATTAAGTATAGCCCTTAAATATGCAGCAGCTAGATATTTTTACACACATACAACTTTTAATCAGAATGACTATGTGTACAAATAGTGAGTTTACAGCAAAATTGTAGCAGAATGCGAGCGCCACCTAGTGATGAATTTCGCGAAAACCACTGAAAACTGGGAACCGGAATTTCGTTCAGTCTGACAGGCCTTGAGTATAAGTTGGCCTTGCTCCTGTTCAGCTTTTACGCCCGCGACGCGCGCGTATAGCCAATAGCCGACCGAGTTCTTATCACGTGTCATAATCAGAAAACCTTCTTGCTTACCCGTTTCAATATGGCGTCAGAGCCACACAGAGATGAGTTTTTGCTTAGAAATATAACTGTATACAGCAATAAAATAATCAGCATTGTTCACGCCATCTTCAGATTTCTCAAACCGTACATATTAGTATAAATTTAAAATTCTCATTAAAGGGGAAAACTGTATACTTATAAAGGAATGATCCAACCAGTATATCCATATGCTTCACCTATTTATAACACCGTAAGTAATAGGAGCCTAAATAAATAACAGTTTCTACGAAATCAAAGTTTCTGCCTTACAAAATTCTCCTTAATTATTATAAATATTGGCTTATATCATGTGTAATAAAAAGCTCTATAAATATCCCAATATTAAATATACCAAAAACTAACTTTAGCAATATAATAACTCCTAAAATAAAGCAGTTGACTGTGAAAGAGTATTCAATAAAATACAATTACGGAATTTTGGAGGAAAGTTACAACTTGTGTCATACAGCAATCATTTATTTAAGTTTAATTAAATGACCTTTGTAGCGACTTCTACTTGTTACATTATTTTTCATAAACAATGCTATCACAGATAGCTGAGTGATCAGCGCGCTGCTTTGTGGGCGGAGGAATGGAAAGGTGGCAAGTTCGAACCTTCCCCGTAGACGGTACAATTCAGTTAGCTTTTCTCATTTTGAAACGTGTTTCTTATATTTAATCATGAATCATTATATTCTTATTTTACCTATTATTATTGTTTTTATTTCTTATTTATTCATTATATTATTGTTTTTAATTTAGTTTAAAAATGTGCAGTGCAATAGAAATCCTTATGTAAAATATATCTGCATCTCTTTATCATATATCATCTATAAATTCTCTCTTTATTTTTACTTTATTGCATATTTTATCATGCACATAATTTCTCATAAACTGTCCAAAGTTTGAACCTCATTCTAAATTCAAAAATAAATAAAAAGAAAAACAAAAGACAGCGAGTTAAAAAAATATGAAGTTGGTTTTATTATATGGTGGATGGTGTATATAAAGAGAATTAAGTAATTTAATTCTCTTTATATACTGTATTCCAACCAATTTTATAAATCCTAATTTTCATACGATATAGAATCTGCAAGTCTGTCAAAACTGGTCGATACTCATCCTGAAGGAATTAAAAAACAAGTAATATACCCCCCCCCCAAAAAAAAAAATTAAGTCAATTCCTACTTAGGTCCACAAAGAAAAGTTTAAAAATACAAAAAATAAATAAATAAAAATACAAACATAATTTTTTAAATAAAAATTAAAAAAATTTTAATATCTGAAAAAGCTTGTATTAACATCAAGTGTCCTTCACTGCAAGTTTAAAAAATTGTATTTGAACTTGAGTGGATGAATAAAAAGCATTTATGTACTGAAAATTTGAACAAGATATAGGGAGAGTGTGAGCTAATAGTAGGAATTTAATAATTCCAGATATTCCTTTCGCAAACAAGGCAGTAAAAAAAAAAAAATCTCTTTGAACAGGTCACTCTAAATAAATCTTTCGGACCCATTCTTTCCATTTTTTTGCGGTTTTGCCTCTGCTTAATAATTGCACATAATAGTAAAGTTTCAGCTATTAAAAAAAATCATCTGATTCGGACAACTTGCCGCAAACATGCAGAAGAACAGCGAAGTAATAAGATACAGCTCTGTTGACGCTATGTTACAGCGTCACGTGATTTTTGCGCAAAATACTTCTATTGGTTAAACGCACTTTTCGCAAGCGTACTCGTTTGGACGCTTTTACGCTGGTAACGTAAAAGCGCGTTCGTCAGCTACGTTTCGAGCGTACTCGTGTGGACGGGCCTTGAGGCGTAAAGCCAATATTGATCCTCATTCAAAATATTCAAATTCAGTCTGTTTATAGGAAGTTTTTTGAGGCAATTACTAATGATGACACATCTGCTACAGCATAGCCCTGATATTAAATAATTTATATAAGATAAATGTACAAACATCGTGAAGATTTCGAGTCATTTCATTTGTGATTCTGTTCGGATGTTTAAGGATGTTGTGCTAAACTTAATCAAAGCCAATAACATAAAACAGAACAGCAACATAAAATTTGAAAAAACGACCATCAGTGAGTTAAACTGAAGCGAAATTGCCGAGGAAGTTATCTGGAAAGGCCGTTAGAATGCTGAAATGAATCAAAGCCAGTAACATAAAACAACAAGAGTTCAAATTATAGCAGAATTTAACATTCTTTCAAACTCGCCCATTTTGCAAAAACTGCCTGTAAGAGGCTTCACGGATTAATAGTCATGACTAAGCTAAAATACGTCAGCTACGTTTCGAGCGTACTCGTGTGGACGGGCCTTTACGATAATGAACTGCTTTGTCGGCTTTAGCTTCCCTACCCGCCATTCCTTCGTGAAATACTGAGGGTTCCGTCAAAGCTTAGTAGGCGGGCATTACTTTGCATTTAATATTATAATTTGAGTAGACATAATGCTGTGCGTTTCTTCGCAAGAAGTGGCTTTTATTTTTTTTCGCAACACGTGGTGTTTCTTTTATTTTACAACTTGTGTAACTGTCAGGCTGAGGTATTAATATTTTTAACCTCCAATGCAGTTTATCTTTACTATATTTAGAAGGTACGACGGGGCAATAAGACATTTTTCTATCTTTACTGTTCTAGAAGTTACCAGTTGAAGAACACCTGGTTACTGATTCGACCTGGCTATCATATTACATTGTTAGTAATGATTCGATTTCAGGTGTGGTGTGGTGTATTTAATTATGGCAAAGCACACTAGGGCTATCTGCCTAAGGGGAGAGATGCCTTCGTGGAGGACTTTCTAAGGGAAACTGGCTCGTATACACGTTACACATGGGGAAAACCACGAAAACACTCATGCAGCCAGCCCGTTCGCGGGATTCGAACCTCGGACCGAACTACCAGTGTTCAGCGACTTTACCGCTCGGCCGCTGGTGGGCCTATTCGATTTCAGAAATCAAGTTCTAATTAATGATTTTCGAAACCGTTCGACGTGATTGTTTTTAACTCTATATCTTTTTATGCTTCTGCGTTTGTTACCTGTTATCACGTGTATATTTCTTTTGGTTATTATTTTGGTTGCAAAATAATATGGCTTCATACTTTTAATGAAAAGCTTGATAATTGCTAATTCTTCTTCCAGAGCGATAATTTTGTTTTTAATTAGTTGTGATGATACACCGGCTTAACTTTTGGCGATCATTATCAAAATGGAAAAACACCAGTCTGCAAATAACAATGTTTACTTAGTCCGTAAAGTGGCCTAAAAAATAAATTAGCTGCTTGTATGTTTCACACATGCACTTAGAAGCACCATACCATAATGTATTTGCGTCTGCTCATTTTCTGCATCGGAATTTCACAGTTGAACGAGATTGCTCATGACGGTATTACCAGAAACGAGATTGCTTATGACAAAACAGACGAAAATATAGAACGAAAAATAGCGGAGTCAAACAGTGATACAGTGAAAACAAGAGAAGATGAGCAAGTAATTAAACAAGAAACAATTGTAAAAGTGAGGAAAATCTGTTTTTTACAGTCTGAGATTATAAAAGTTCATATGTCGCCTATTACTATTAACGGCATATTGGTTTGGTTAACAATGGAAGCAACACTGGCACGGCTGATGTCAACTTGAATACTCACACAGCCAACTCTATAATGGCCTTGAAGCCAAAAGTCACGTGATCGAGATGGTCGATGTGTTGTTGTGGTAGTGTATGGTTGTGAATCCGTGGTGGCGGATTTTTTAGATGTATATTTTGCTATTAAGTGATTTTAAATCACTTACGCTAAGGTAAATAATATTTTTATCTATACTTTGTTTTATACTTTTTTAATTTTTAGATTTATTTGGGAAAATTTGTAGCTGTTCTCAATCCTATTCAAGTAATTTCGTTTTAACATAACATCGAATACATTAGTTTGGACGTTTCGCATAGTGTTGTTTTGAATATTTGTTTGGAATAGTACACTAGGAATTCCTTATTTTGATTATTACTTTCTAATGGCATATTTGACATTCTGTCCCAATAAAATAAACTTTATCACCACAAACATTTCAGGCATTAATAACAACTATAGATGCATTCATTCAATTGATTCCATGTTTGTTTCAAAAGTATGAAGCTGAATACATATTGTTAGGAAAATTTCACACTGATGTTCCTGAATCACGTTTTGAAATGTATCGGCAAATGTCAGGTTCAGATTATTAAATAAATGACCTACAATTATTAGAAAATGAGAAGAAGCTTCGTTTTATAATTTCATCATCAAATATGAATGTCTCTTTTACCAGATTATGATAAGGATTCTATCTTTACTTTTGCGAATATTAATTGATCATTAAAATTTACTTATTAATGATTTTTTATAGAAAATGTTTTTTTCTGATATTTTAGCAGTGCTAGTTTATGTTTCAGGTTATGATGCCATGAAAAAATTAAGGGTGATAAAATGCAATATTTGCCAGGACTTGTTTCAAAGTACTCATTCAGTAGATACAGCAGATGATATTTTTGGTTTTCTTAAAGAATTAGATAAGGGGGAAATTAAAAATTTTCCATCTGAAGTTACTCTATTAAAATCTTCAATTGTATATTTCTTATTTGGTGAAATTCTTAAAAAACATGGAAAACACATTTCTTATGTCAGGAAAGCAAATGGATATTTTATATAAGTTATCTTGCATACGGTTAGTACACTATACAGTTACTTTAATTTAACAGATTCTTGCACTTGTGGAATGACTTTACAAACTCGGTTAGAAAATATGTTTGATAACTTGTAAAATAATGTTAAATAATTATACAAAATATAAAAATGACAAAATTAATATAAAATGTTAATATAAAAATGTTAAAAAATTTAATTAATTTCAGTTAATAACTCAATTGTTTATTTGATTTATGCTTTGTTTCTGCATATAGATTATGTATAATATGTAGCATGTACGAGTATGTATATGGTACAGCTCCAAGTTTTATGAATTTAATTTTAATAGTGGTATAGGCCTGTAATTTGGGGAAATCACTTTAAAAAAAACCAAGCCTAATCACTTATCTCTTGGATGCTTTGGAAAAAGTTATTCAACATAAAATTGGAACTGGTACAAATAGATGGCTATCCTTTTTTATGAATGCAATTAGCATTTAGCTCTTTGAAATTATCTTGAAAGATTTATTTATAGTATAACGTGCATGTAATTTCATCTTTATATTCAAATTTTCCAGCATTTAAGGAATTTTAATTCATTTTCCTGTTTTGATAAAAATGAGATATGCAGATTTTATTAGTGAATGAAGAGAGATGACTATGGGTATTTGACTTTTAAAAATTTATATAGCTGATGCGATGGTAGCGGCATGGAGTTTTACAAAATAATTCTTCCCTTAATATTTATTTTACTAGTATGTAAATCTAAAATTTGCATCCATAAATCTATTGAATTCCCCCCTTATGTGGATTTTATATTATTTTGGCAATAAATTTGATTCAGATTACATAAATGAATTTCATTTTTATCAAAATTACATAAATAAAGTTCGCATGAGGTGATTCTCAATGATATTTTTAGTTACATAAACGAAGTACAAATTGTTTAAAAAATTATTGAAGATATGCATTTTTACCGCCTGTAAAAATATTGCACTATGAAAAATTTAATGTTAATCATACGACCTACTCACGTTTATTAATTTTACTTATATTTATTTTAATACAAACTACTATTTTCGATAAAGTTTAACTCCGGGATTATGGTAAAGAGAAAGAAATCGACTATTTCGATCACGTGACCTTCCGAAACTGATTTCGCTTCAAGGCCATGATACAGTCGGCTGTGGAATACTCATTGCTTCTCTCATGATGCTTCCTGTTAAGTCACTCGATATACGGAATTATTACGGTAGACCTTAGACTTAAGATAATCGCAGAACCAGAGGCTTACGAATGTTAAATCAAAGAAATACGGAGACTTTGCGAGCAGTGTTTTTGGATCGTGAGATTTTTCGCAAATTTGCTATTTTTGAAAAACTTATGCTACTAAAATCTGTCTATGCGATTTTGAGAATTCTCGGCTGCTTCAGAATTTCCTTGTGCTACTCTTGACTACTTATTTTTTTTTTTTTTTAATTTATCGGAAATACGCATATGTTAGTGTAATGTAACTTTCTAAATCAATTTTTATAAAAGTAATAATTTATTTAAGCCTAAATAAATGTTGACAATTAGCACTCCTACGATCGTAGCCCACGAGCGTATATACAGGGTGATCAAAAAGTCAGTATAAATTTGAAAACTTAATAAATCACGGAATAATGTAGATAGAGAGGTAAAAATTGACACACATACTTAGAATAACATGGGGTTTTATTAGAAAAGCAATAATCTGATCAGAAAAGCAATAATTAGCATAACAAATTAAGACAAAGCAAAGATGATGTTCTTTACAGGAAATGCTCAATATGTTCACCATCATTCCTCAACAATAGCTGTAGTCGAGGAATAATGTTGTGAACAGCACTGTAAAGCATGTCCGGAGTTATGGTGAGGCATTGGCGTCGGATGTTGTCTTTCAGCATCCCTAGACATGTCGGTCGATCACGATACACTTACGACTTCAGGTAACCCCAAAGCCAATAATCGCACGGACTGAGGTCTGGGGACCTAGGAGGCCAAGCATGACGAAAGTGGCTATTGAGCACACGATCATCACCAAACGACGCGCGCAAGAGATCTTTCACGCGTCTAGCAATATGGGGTGGAGCGCCATCCTGCATAAAAATCGTACGTTCCAGCAGGTGTTTATCAGCCAGGCTGGGGACGATGCGATTCTGCAACATATCGGCGTACCTCTCACCCGTCACGGTAGCAGTTACAAAACCAGAATCACGCATTTTCTCGAAGAAAAAAGGCCCGATAACAGTATTTTTTTTTTTTTTTTGTTCTAATAAAACCCCATGTCATTCTAAGTATGTGTGTCAATTTTTACCTCTCTATCCACATTATTCCGTGATTTATTAAGTTTTCAAATTTATACTGACTTTTTGATCACCCGGTACTATCACTTCTAAACAGTAGTCGCTGCCGTTTTCATGTGTTTCATTGATTGCTTTGTATAATGTTTTGGCGATCTGTGAGAGGGATTCCAAAGTTTATCAGATTATAGCTACTTTATTCACTAAAATGAGCATTATGAATAATGTGAAAAGATTTAACATCACCTTATGGCGTCTTCTATGCTTAGGAAGCATACACTAACGAGCTCTAAAAAGACTGTAGAAAAATTATCTGCAAGTCTTATGATACAAACAAAAGTCAGAAGAAGGGTGTATACCCTCTTATTCAAACACAAAGATCTTCACAAACGGCGCCACTTTGGCTTACATAAGCCAACACTTCTGGCTTCACTCAGACAGTAATGCTGAACTAAAATTAAATTAAAGTAACGCTCAGGAAGGCTCTGGTTTGTAGCGGCTAATAACACTAATGGCTATTAGCACTCAACGCTACAGAAACAAATCTCTAGTTAGTCACGGTAACAAAGTGGCCTCCAATAGGCAGAACAAGCACTAAAATCAACTTGCGAAACCATTGCTTAAATAGCACTTCTTTCTTCCTCAGTCTGAATAAATGCTCGCTATCTCATTTACATTCTGGCATGAAAAGCGTGGATGAAAAGAAGAACGACAGAAATGTTACTTAACTCAAATGAACTATTAGTCAGAAATATATAGATAAATCCTCACAACTTTTCAAATTGGTTGGCTTAAAATATCCATATATGAGCAAAGCAAGATTAGCCATTAAGCAAAATAAGCTTATGCTTTAGGGCCATCAAAAGGAGCACCACAAAAAAAGTCTTCAAAAACTCAGGAGAGGGGGAACCACAAAAATTTCCCTTTGCCGATTTTACAATGAAATATATGGTTCAAATAAACCAAGATCAAGAGGGAAGGAATGGGAATAAACAGGTTATGTTGGTAAACCCTTTTAAATGCTCAAGGCCTCTTAACAGTCTTAATCCGGCCCTGTGTTCCTGTGTATGAGAATTGGCTGGAGAGAATAAAAACAGATCAGACAAAAGCTTATTGTAAATAATGTAAAGACGAACTGAGGCACACAAAATTGATTTAATGAAGCACAGTACTTCTTTGAAGCATAAATAAAGTGTTGTTTGATAATGTATGGTTATGTTAGAGAGTGTTCACTCTGTTCTATAATATGTTTTATTTCAACCGCTACTTCATTAATATCAAAATTATTTTTTTTGAGTAATCTATTCATGCAGGTTCGTAATCTGGTTCCTAATCCGCTTTTCTTCGCGTATCCCTTAATACTACTTTGTAATTTAAGACTATCCCTAACTCTGCTTTCAGACGTTGTATTAGATTAACAGCTGAACAGAGTTACTTTGTAGAAAAACATAGCCACTTCAAAATTTCATTACTAGGATTGAATTTTTGCAGTAAACATATTATCGGAAATGAATTCATTCATGAAATTAGTTTTTATCTTATTACCAAATTAAAATTTATAAATATTTCGTATCAAATTTAATGAAACAGCATTTCTTTTTCTAATTCACATTACAGTTACTGTACAGGAAAACTCGGAAAAACTGTTTAAAGAAAATGAACAGCTGCAGTCATTGGCTAGTGGCTAGCTTAAGTCATTCTTCCTTCGCGTACCCCTTAATAAGACCTTATAATTAAAGACTACCCCTAACTAGTTCTTCAGAACCTATGACCCCCCCTTGTACCTCCTGAATTCACGCAGTCTATCTTATTATTGTATTGTTTTATTATTTTAATACCATAAAATTCATTAACTTTGATAAATTAGACAGAAATATATAATCAAACAAAAACCAATCATTACATTATTCATTTCAAAATAAATATATAACAACTCATAATTTAAAATTAAAACGTAACATTATTTATGTTAATTGATTTCTTTATCAGCTTTTATAAAAAGTGAACGAGAAACTGATTGAATTGAAGAATTTATTGACTAGTCTAGACCTAAAAAAATTTCCTAACATTCTTGAAATAGTGTTGTAAAACACTAAACTTATAACAAATAAATTAAAATGTAATTTCGTTCACACTAAACTTTAAGACTAAGATTTGATCTGTAAGAAAATACTAACAGTCGTTACACTAGAACACATAATCAATATATACTCCTGCTAAAAAAATAAGCAACAAAGGGAAAACACGAAATAAAACAAAAGCCATTTAATGGATATACGCGAAATTGATCCAAGAGGTTTCTGTGGCATTACTAGACCACATAAAAAGCAATAAAGCAAAGAGATAAAAAACGCATGCATTATGACCATCACATCGCGAAAGACTAAATGGTTTGGAAGAATGTGCAACGGAAACATCACACTAATAAATAATTTTAATAGCCTAATAGCTGAAGTGCATGTTTCACAACGGCGAGACAAGCGGGCAATAGTGTCGTTGATCTCTTGTGGCAGTTGCTCCCATTCCTGTAGTAATGCATGTCGGAGTTCATGAAGGGTGCCTGGCGGCACATTGCGACATGCTGCTATTCGTAGTCCCAATATGTCCTATATATGTTGTATGGGGGGTTCAGGTCCTGTGATTTAACGGGCTACGGCAGATGTGGAATTATTTCACTCTCTAGATAACTCCGAAACACTCCAGCTGTATGCGAGTGGGCGTTATCGTCCATAAATATTGCGTGGGTACCATTGCCACGATAAAAGGGAGTGCAGTTTCGTCGCGATGTATTGGACGCCTGCGACGGAACCACCGGGAAACACTTAAAGGTCGGCCAGCCCATTCTTTGCTATCTAAGCCCATACAAGTAAGCCTCCTTCGCTGTAATGGTCTCGTTCGACGATATCTGGAGCCCGATATCGTGTCCCTGGTTTTCGCCATATCGTTGCCCTTGCAGAGTCGTTCTGGATATTACACTGGTCATCAAAATTAAAGGGTAATGACAGAAATAAAAGATAACTGATACTTAATGAAAAATTATTAATAGACATTTTTTCAAAAGGGTTAGTTAACATAAACTACAACCTCTGACAGTTTATTATTCTCGAAATATTGAAATTAAAACTAAATTTATGGAAATTGGAAAATGATGGAAAAATTAATTCACCTCTTGAGGAAAACTTTTTTTCTTAATATGGTGTATGGTCACCTCGAGCAGATAAGCATACCTCACATCTTGAATTTATAGAATTTACCTAAGTGTTAATCAAGTCTTGTGGAATTACATGCCACTCTTCTAAAAATGCTCTTTTTAGCTATTGGAGAATCCGGGGAGGAAATTCCGCGCCGTAAGGCATCCTTTGCATGTTGAATCGGGTTCAAGTCGGGTGAATGAGGTGACCAATCGATTCAAGTGATATCTTCTATTTGCAAGTATTCTGACATCACATACGCTCGATGAGGCCGAACATTGTCATATATTAGCAAAAGTTGTGGATCAACAGCACCTCTGAGCAGTCAAACATGGGGTTCCAATACCTCGTCCACCTATCTCTGAGCAGTTACAAAGCCTTGAGAGATATCAGCTCGATGCTGCCACTTGCGACGATTCTTCCCCAGACAGTTAAACCGCGGTTCTAGAAACAGGATATATCACGGACAAGGGAAGAAGCAGTTGCGTTTTCCTTCCGCTGTCCAGGTCAAAATATGCCTAGAATCACTGTTCATACACTATCTGGAGTCGTCAGTAAACAATATTCGGCCCAGTAACTCTTGGCTGCATTGAACATGACGACGGCACCATAAATGGCCCCTCTGGAAGCTGGAGTGTGTGGAACACAAACCATTGATTTTCTCGCATACAGTCTAACCTCGTTAAACCTTCCTGCAGCAGTAGAACGGCTAATCCAAGTTACTGTGGTGACTTTGAAAGTCTAACTCAAAATCTTTTATAGTCGCTTCGAGGTTTCTTCTAGTCAACAACGGCAGAAAACGATCTTCTGATGCAGTTGTTGCTGTTGGTTGGCCTTTAACAGACTGTCTATCAACTGATCCAATACTTAAGAAGTGTCTCCAAACTCTTGATACCACACTTTAGGGATATTCAAATCTTGGGCGCCTTCCATTTGTGTTTTACCTCCCTCGATTTCACAAATTATTCGCCGCTTTTGGCCTTTACTTAAATGATGTCTTTAAGCCATAACTACTGAATACTGATTACTCTCAGAAACCACATTCACTTTAAACAACACAATAGATCGCAGTTCCAACATTTGGCTGTTGTGCGCTATAATTTCAATCACCGAATTTGCATATTTTCGACGTTAACGTATGCGTGGAAGTACAATTTCATGTTCATCTGAATTTAATTAACATAAATATTACAGCATTGGGCACTAGTTGGAATGGAATGGAATGGAATATTCAGTAATGGCAAAGCACACGAGGGCTATCTGCCTAAAGGGAGGGATGCCTTTCGTGGAGGACTTTCTAAGGGAAACTGGCTCGTATACACGTTACACATAGGGAAAACCACGAAAACACCCATGCAGCCAGCCCGTTCGCGGGATTGGAACCTCGGACCGAACTACCAGTGTTCAGCGACTTTACCGCTCGGCCGCTGGTGGGCGCGGTTCAAAAGAGGATTGAACTGCTAGTGTTCAGCGACCTAATCTACTCAACCACTGGCCAGCTCAAATTACTTTATTACCACCCTGTATGTAGGTAAAGATGTATGTATTAAAATGTATGTATTTGGTTCAATATGGTCATTTTAAAGAAGTTGTAATTGCTGTGATGTACATAATTTATAGAACGATATTTAAACGAAGATTTAATTTAGATGGCATACCATATTAAGCTTTTAAAAGATATAATATTTTATTTTATACAAAATTTAGACTAAATTGCAACCTTTCAATGCGTTTATTAGAGAATCCTGTGCTCAGAGGGAAAATCACACTATGATCAAAATTTAGAAAAAAATATACTATTATGCAAAGTGATGTAAAATCTGTATCATGTAATGATATACTCTTATATGTAAATTCTTTGTCATACTTAAGTAGCAAATGACTGTCACATGATTAATAAACGATATGATTTGCTTTAATTGCTTTCTGTTTTATTTCAGGTGTCTGCAAAATGTGTTCTTGATTTAATAGATGAAAGCAGGAAATTTCATGTCACGTGTGCTTTTACAATCCTTATTGCTGGCTGTAAGTTATTTCAATGCAATTATTAATTTTTCATTATTATGTAGAATTGATTTTACAAAAATTTAGAAGAGTAACTGATGCAAATGAATCAACGGATTTTCAAAAGTATTTCACATACAGTAATAAATGATAGATAGAAAGAACGGGAAATCAGAACGGTGTTTATATATTTTTTCAACTGAAGGCAAAGAAGTAAATGCTATCCTGTATTGGGGGGGGGTCAGAAATACATGTCTGTTTTGTATATACGTAATCTTTGCAAAATTGATCTCCTTAAATTTAATAATGCCAAAACATGAATCTTTACGTTATTTAAAATATTTCTGTAATTGCAAGTACATGTCTACGACCAACGGTTACAGAAATAAGGAGCGGATAAGGGCTTCTGTAGGCACTTTGTATATTATTCATACATTCAATATGCAATACAAATAAACTATATGTTCGCAATTTTATACTGATTAAAAGTAACTATTTCAAATTATAATGCATTAACTCTTGCGACAATATTAAATTATAGCTTTATATATTCTGAAAAATAAATATGTATAATGGCTTACAAATTTGAAATGAAAAGCACTAAAAATATCTTTTCTGTTAAGCCGCAAATAATATAATAATCCATGACAGATCTTAATTTATGTTTATAATCCTAGGTAGATTGTAACATTAATGCAAACCGAGCATAATTTTCCTGTTGAATCCCTGTGAATTTTCTAAAACTATCCAAACATATTTCAATCACTGGTTGGAATTCTTTTAGAAACAATCGTATATTTACAGCATTTTAAAACCGATTATATTTCTACAGTGTGTAGAATTTAAAAATAAATACGTATAATTTTACAGTAACAGTTTATACAGTACAAAATTAATCAACAATTAAACAATTTATACAATATACATAATATATGGTGTCCGCCGAAAACATAGCAGACGAAAACTTCGCGGAGAAGAAAACGCAAGGAGAAAACGTCGTGATACAAAACATTGTGGGAGAAAACATGGCAAAGAGAAAACATCGCAGTTCTAAAATATCGTGGTACAAAATATCGTGGTCGAAAATAAAGCGGTTCAAAAAGTTCGCAGTTTAAAAACATCGTCGTCAAAAATATCACCGTAAAAATTAAATTACCTACAAATCATCGCATGACGATAACATTGCACACATGCGTTTTCAGGTTTTGAAAGATGTAAATGCATGTTCGTATAAAGATTATAGAGCTCAAGGAGTAAAGAGGGATTCTTTTACTTTTATATTTCATATATTTGAACGAACTAATAAATTTTTGCTGAAAAAATAAGAAGGAAACTTAAGCATTTAAAAACTTAAAATGAGTAAAAAATTAATGCAACTTAAAAAGCTTAATAGAATTTTAAATTTATATAGTTAATTAACAAAGATCATTAAATTAAGCTTTGTTTATAAAGTTTAACTGACAATTTTTCATGAAATATACAGTCTAAAAAAAAGAAAGATAAATAACTGCATAAGGTTACCTCTATAAAAATTGCTTAATTAATGATCAAATTATTTTCTTTCACATTTGCTAATCTGATATTGTTTTAATGAAAATTATATATTGTTTTGTTTTCGTTTATTATTAAAGTGTCGTTAACATTTTCATGTATAGCACGCAATCAATTTTTTGGATGTCAATTCGTTAGTTATGAAGAAATTCAGTTACATGATTATGTCACTATGCGATTTGAAAAAAACCATGTATGCGATGTTATCGTCATGCGATGATTTGTGCGTACTTTATTTTTTACCACGATATTTTTGACAACGATGTTTTTAAACTTCGAAGTTTTTGAACCGTTTTATTTTTGACCCCGATATTTTGTACCACGATGTTTTACAATTGCGATGTTTTGTACCAGAACGTTTTCTCCTTGCGTTGTTTTTTCCACGACGTTTTCGTCCGCGATGTTTTTGCCGCATTGTTTTCGGCTGTAACCATAATATGTATATATAATTTATACAGTATGCATAACAGTATTTATATTTTTTAAAATATAATTAAAATTTTAAAATTAACGAGTTAACAGCATAACATAAGAATGACTTTAAAGTTAACGAGATTTAATAATGCTACATATTTTATCTTCATTTTTACCTCATGTCTTCAGTTAACTCAGTAGGCTTCAATGTCTAAAATTTCTCGACTATGATAAAAGTTTACCCCTAATTTGTATTCGCAGCAATGAACAATTTTGCCGTTTCTGGCCTAACTGAATTCCAATTTTTTTTTTTTTTTTTTTTTTTTTTTTTTTTTTAATCTTAAGTCAATAGTTCATCGCATTCATTTGTATCTTTTTCTTACCGTTTCAGTGTTATTTGAAACTATATTTTTTAAAATTTCTTTAGTAAAATTTAGGAGCAGTTTCTTTTAAATATGTTTTTATTATTATATAGAATCAGGGAATTAAACTATATTTTTCAATATGTTCTTTTTTGTCAAAATCAGTTACATTACAATTAAGCAGATCAGTTTGCCTTCTACAAAGTATTCAAAATTTTGAATCTTCTTTTTTATTGCTTTGAAACTAAAAAATTCATAAAAGGCAGTTATATCTACCTTATACATTAAATTCCAGTCGACAAAGAATGAAACAAACTAATGTATCGATTCGTTTAAACTGTGTAGCAATATGCGTTTTCTTCAGAAATGACCTTAAGGGATGTGTAGTTCGCGCGCGTATAGTACATAGTTTCTGCGCAAATAGTAATATAGTATTATTTATAGTTCCCGCGCAAATTAAACATGGATCCAAGAAGAGAAACTTCAAATCATGCGTCTCGTTCATTTGCAAATTTCGTTCATTGCCAAAAAAGATTAACGACTAATAATTAGGTACATTTCAATTTCATCCTCGCTTAGTCTCGCGATGCTATTCCAATGGTATCCAATGGGTGCATTGTGCTGTAAAAACTGTCAACAATTGCATCGCCGTCTATGCTTAGTTAGTCGACTTCGGAAAACTTGTTTTGGGCCAGTAGGAATAGTGATTATTGATGGGAGACAGAGTAAAGAATTACGTATGTCCGGAGTATAATATTTTCTATGGAAGTTTAATCTGTGTAGCTCGTCATAACAAATGGGAATTAACTTCAATGTGCTACTTCCAATATTTTAATATTGAAAGTAGCACATTGAAACATGCATGCACTACTCTGAAACCTCATCTCTTCTGAGAATAAATTAATGTTATTCATTCTTCTTTTAAGTTAGGTTGATAGTTTATGACATAACACTCTTTTTTTATATTCATTAGTGTATTCCAGAGTTGAAAGATAAAATCATAATTTGTTTTTGAAAATGAATTTCTAAATTCTCGCAGCTAATTGGCACCCCATGTATTTGTTCATCTGAGACAAGTGCCTTATTTGCCTCACTTTTGTCCAGGCTCTTCAGGAAACTAAGTTCTTCTCTCACATTATAAATAAAATATGTGTTACCTCTTGGTAACCGCCGAACATCCAAGGGGTAGTCAAATTCGGCTTATATGTTTTGTAGCATGGCTACCTAGGTCTAATGGTGTGTGATTTTTACTTTAGAGGTAATTTAACAATTGTGTTTTCGCACTTATTATGTCTGCTATTAGCAATGTTAATACTCAGGGTGATGCTTCGTTGCTGCTGTGATGACCATTGACAACGTAATGCTGCCAAAGGTACGCGACGCATTCGACTACCGCTCGGATCTGTGTCGTGTGACCAAAGGACCATATCTAGAACATTTGCAATAATATGACGAACCTTTTGTGAGTTTCCGGCCCTTGTGAGTTTTGTGAATTTCCGATTTTTATTTAGCAATTGTCAAGCAGTATTTTAAATAATACTTTTGTGGAAAGAGTACGCATTTCGTTACTTTCACCAGAATGTCCAGGAAAATGATCGCTATGTTCAAGAAGTAATTGTGTAAGCGGCTATCATGGTCAATGTCAGAACTCTTCTTCATATCTTTGACGAAAGTTTAGTGGCATTACACCGAACTTCTCCCGGGATCTGTCCGTCTTTTCTGTGATGCAATTGATCCTGACTTTCTGTTAATACATGTCAATGCCCACCCGCATAGAACATCTGAAGTGAGCTACAGATTAGCTGAGAATCGCATGACATGGCCTGCATATGCCCCGGACTTACATCCCATAAAACATGCGGGGGCACGGAATATACATACTTCTTGAAGACAGAACCGTCCTCGATCTCAAAATTGCCCAGAGGTACGATTGGGGTAAAATCTACGAAGCTTTTCTTCTGTTTTATTTTGTGCAGAACGAGCATTTTGCTTAACTGTTGAAAATAGCTGTAAGGAGGATCTCTCTCTTTTTTTTTTTTTTTTTTTTTTTTTTTTTTTTTTTTTTTTTTTTTTTTTTTTTTTTTGCTTAGCTTGTTTTGCCATGAGGCGATATCTGTACCATTTTTCATATTATCAGTACTTCAGGGCCTCTATTAAATACCATATTCTCTCTTGTATAAGCCGCACTTTTTTTTTTTTTTTGACAAAAAAGCAGATGAATCTCAAGGGTACGGCTTATACACGCGAGTGACTAGAAATATGTACATACGAACATGTGGCAACACAACAGCGTGTTAAATGCGTATTAAATACACTCAGTTGTTAGATGAATGTTTAGAATTTTACTAGTTGTGGTTGCAGATCTTAGTGACATGCTGTGGAATACCTGTACTAGCGATAATGATACTGGTAGTGTAGGCAAGTACTCTGGTACCACTCGTGACAATGAATAAAAGGCGCTAAACACAGAAACATGTTTGACCAATAATAAAAATTTTGTCTCAGTGTGTGGTAAGTACTGTTTTCCGTTTAACTGTTTCCACACGTCAAAACAAAACAAAAAAAAAAAAAAAAAAAAAAACGTACTCTAGCTGGTAGATCCGCGGCTTATTCTCGAAAAAGAATTTTCCTTAATTAGAGGTAAAAATTAAGGGTGCTGCATATATGTGAGTGCAGCTCATACACGACAGAATACGGTAAGCGCCAGGTGTCACTTCTTTGAAGGATGTCTATGATTAGTTGACAAATTACTCAGTCCTTTAGCAATGGTTAAGTAGTGTATGGTATATGTAATCCTTTTGAAAATAAGGTATTTTGAAATAATTCGTTTATAGTAACTCTGTAAATGGTGTGTTTATATCTAAAATAAGTGTATTTTTTGTTCTAATTCCGAAGACGCTTAGTTTCATTTTAATAATATATGAAGCGTAATAGATGTAATAATATTGAAATCCAATGTTTCGTTTTTACTGTAAACAAAACGTAGCACGTATAATAATGTAACATTTATAATACATTTCGAGGCTGTGCTATTAAAACTTTATTTAGTGAGACGTAATTTCGCGTTTTATGTGAATAGTATACGCTCATTTTCAAATTTTATAACTTTATCTTCTGTTCTAGGTTTCCATTCAGTTGCTCACATCATTAACGCTGTGAACTTTTCTGCTCATTATAACTCTGTTTATAAAGATGTAAATGTGGCAAACTTTAAAGGAGAAGTAAATAAGCTTCTTATTTTATTTCTGTTTTACATTATTAATATACAGTAAAGTATTGTGTTAAGCCCGTTTAATTTCCTTTTCCCCAAATATCTACTGGAGTTTTATACTTAATGCTGTGCACATGAATTCAGTAAAAACAAACATACCTCAGAATAGATCTAACGCTTAAATTCAGAATGAAATGAGAATTTATATATATATATATATATAGTATATATTGCACTGAAACTGCAGTCTGTTCTCTCAGTTATCCAAATTTTACTGGATTATTTACGTTTCAAGTCATTACCTTTAACTTGTTTCTGTGAATCAGTATATTCTGTTTAATCTGTTTCTGCTCTATAAATAAAGTTATGAAAGCTTGTGGTAAAATGGTTCAGCTGAATCTTCTGAATTCATTATCTTTTGCAGTGCTAATATATGCACTGGAAATCTGATTATACAAATTGATAGTAATTTTAGCACGTATTGAGAGGACAGTTATTATTTTATTATATATGTGTAGACATGTATTAGACATACGTTACAAGTGCATTGATATGTTATCATGCGTATGTGCATGTGAATATTTGATTCTGATTAACAGAGACATCGCTTTATTGAGACAGTCTTTTAGAAAATCTTAAGACCAGTATATAAAAGTGACTTGTATTTGTCGCTTTTGTTTAGCAATGCGTGCCGCTTAAATGAGAATTTTACAGTACTGAGAAAATGTACTTTGAAGTCATCAGAGCTTAAAAAAATTTTAATTTTGTAAAATAAATACAAGCGTTAAAATTGCATGTTTTATGAAGATTAAAATATTACTTCTCGAAGTTAATCTTCTTAAAAATGTTTACTTGACATAAAAAATTTATTTCAAAGGTTATTGAAATATACTAAGCTATTACAAAAATTATTTACGGAAAAAAAAACAATGAATAACAGTAGTTTATTTGCTCCTCGATACTAAAAAGCCCAAACCACGGAAATGAGCAAAGATTTCTAAATATTTTCGATTAATGATATATTTTATTCAAAATCCGTGTTTTGCACTAACACGTTTGAGAATTATTGACAGCTGTTTTTAGCAGTGCTCTGAATATGATTGCTAACATACACCCATTAATAAACCTGCATTTGCATCAAGATACAATGGTATACTTAATATATATCAACAAACAAAAATTATATTTTTATTAAATGCACAAGTCGGTTCCTTTCTTTAGATAACTCCCTTTCCTTTGTAGAAAATGAGGATTTATAGAGTTAAAAAAATTTCTTTCATTTTTCAAATTTTCAGCTTCGTTCGATACAGTAAATCACACGTATCATGTAAAAATTTAAAATACTAACGGAATCCTTTTACTTGGTAGAACAGGGTTCGAACGCCTTAGGAAAGGCTGGTTGTACAAGAGGTTTCGGGGATATAACGTGTAATAGTAATAAGAACCAGCTTCCTTATTATACCTTAGGAAATGGATGTCTCTAAGAAGGCTTTCATTGCCTTAGGTAGATAACCTTCAAGTGCTTTCTTCTCAGTAACATCCAATCTGATTTATGATAGAATCTCTTGAAATGTCTAGCAATTCATTTTTCTCATTCATTCTAAACCCAATAATATTCTTTATATGCCAAAAGAATAGGCTGCTTAATAACTGAGAAACATTCTAAGGACATCTAGTTTATCCCCCCCCCCAAAAAAAAATGTGCTCATTTGGGGGAGTGCTTCCATTCCATCTGAGAAAAACCTCCGCGCCAGGATCTGAAAAAAAGTAAGAGGACGAACTGAAGTCTCGGTGTTTTACATCTTTCGTCATTCGGCCGTTGGTGGCTAATATACCAGTCGAAAAATTAGCCACACATTAACTCTTTCCGGCACGCTACCTTTTAAAGTCGGAGTTTTGATAAACAAAAAAAAAAAAAAAAAGGTAGGCAGTAGGCAGTCTAATTAGGCCTAGAGGAGTACACAAGTAAAATTTTGTGAAGATAGCACTTATCGTTTTAATTCTATGGTTGTGCCAAAAGTGGGCACACTGATTAAATAGAGCTTCGAAAAGAGTGCTGAACGAGCATTGTTGTCAATGAACTGACCGATGAGATGCGGAGAAACAAAGAATACAGACTCTCAGTTGTTCTAGATTATCGGTGAGCGGGGTCTGCGCACACCTAGGATTCGCCGTTTAATTTTAGGCAAGATTTCAGGGTAAAAATTTAAAACTAATGTAGAATAAGGTAGCATGCAGCCAAAAAAATAACATAGAAATTTCTTTTCAAACAATTCCTTTTATACCCTAAAAAAGTCTGGAAGATTTCTTTGAAAAATGAGGGTCTTAAAAAACTAAACATGGCTAAAATATATGGACTGGTTTGTGTTGAGCTGCCATCTACTATAAATAAAGAAAGTTCAGAGTAACCTATAGTAACCTCTAAATCCTTTTTCATTCAATTTTTCTGTGCGAACAGAAGGAAAATTTTAGGTGTGTCCACACCGGACACACTGTGCCGCAAAGGGTTAAAGGCTTTATGATAAATATTCGATAAGTTTTAGTGTAAAATCTCTCCGAATTATGTATGTATCTAAATATGTAATAAATATAAAATGTATTTAAATTCAAAATTTTCGCCATACATAATCGGTGGATTTCACGGCGCACTACTGAATCGCAAAGCAATGACTGGAAAATGCTGCTGTAAAATAATTATTTTTCACAGATTCTTCTAACAGTAATGATTACGAAATGCATTGATATTTATTTGCATATTTATTATATAAATTGTGTACTTTATATCAAATTGTTTATAGTTAATTATTTCTTTTCACAAGAATCGAATAAAAGAATTTTACAAGCAATATGAATACACTTGAAAAATTACTACAGGCGCGGAAAGGATAATTAAAAACCCTTGAATGCGAATTATTTCGTGTCACTAAATGTGCATTTTCGTCTCTTGTTACATAATTTATTTGAGTAAGTAGATTATAGACTTTTGTAACATGATAAATAATTCATTTATGCTAAAATGCTGCATTTTTTCCTCTGTTTCACTTCAAAAATATAACATTGCCATTTTTCTTAGGATCCTCTGAATTCAGTAATTAAAACAGGTGAGTTCGTGTGTGTTTTATTCACTCATTTATACTAGTTTTAAAATTTGCCGTTTCACTGTGTTCGTCATATGCCTTGTAAATTTTTTAATTATATCTATTTTCTGCAGTTCCAGGTATTACAGGAATTCTCATGATTGTCATACTTTGTATACTTTCTTCAACTGCTGTAAAATACGTTAGGTATACATATTTTGAAGTAACTTATCTCTTACTGTTATTTATTACTAACTTCTTATTTGATTCTTGAAAGCAGAAATCATGCTTTTTTAAAGCAGTCAGCTCTGAAGTATTCGGAATGAAAACATACCAAAATGTAAATTATTTTCATTGAGTTTGTTATTCTAAAATTAATATTTTTTATAGGAGTACCAGTTTTTAATATAATAATTTTAGATATATATAAATAGACTTATATAAGTATATTTAATCTACGCTTATTTTTAAAGCATAGTATTTATATAAACACAGTCTAGCAATATTTTAATAAAACCATTCATTATCAAATTCTACTGAATATCTTAAATGTTTGATACATGTGTTTGAGCATTATCATACATATGTTTATATATCATGCCTAATTCAGGAATTTGAGCTACACCAGTCACAATTGTTAAGAAATGATTTAATGTGTAGAAATTAAAATATTTAAATTAACGAGTACTTCAGATGCTATTATACAGTTATCTAATAACAACAAAATATCCCATTTGACTTTAAATCAAAATTTTGTGGGAAAATACAAATTTTATCCACTGCTGAGTACAATATATTATTATAGAGCATCATGAAGTTTCGTAGCCATCCATGGTAGCCCAATATATGGTAGTAGGTGGTCATTTTTACCTTTAATCATCAAGGCTCAATTGTGTGTATATGTGCACTTATATCAACCCGAATATCGAGTTTCCAGTATTGAATGACTATTAGTCATGTGGAATAGGTAGTTACTGCATTTTATTTAGACTTACTAATAAAATAGGTTACTGCTGTTTATTTAGTTTCACTTTTCGGTTTTATATGTTTTTTATTTGAACTTATGATATGTTTTCTTGTTAATTGTTGACCATTTCTTCAATCTGCTTAATTTATAATACACTGTCTTTCTGTATATACAGAAAAGTATACACATGGGTGCCTGTCTTCGTACATAACTAATATAAAAATTAAATTATCAATCGATATATTACTCAGCTATTATAACGAGGAGCTGAGTGTTACGATAGCCAGTTCTTAAGCATTAAGACTTAAGCTTAAAACTTTCATGACGCTTATTTTCATATTATAAAATCTAATTAATACACTTTGTTAATTATAATAGGAAGGTAATATAAAAAAATAGTAACATTGTAAAATTAGGCTATTAATCACTAAAAATAAATGCATATGAAAACGAAAATTAGAAAACCTAATAATGATAAAGGAGAAAACTGCTGAGATACATTCTCATCGTTAGAAGAGAAAACATAGCATTCAATATTAATTATTTTCTCGATTCATCTCTCAGGAACAGATATTAATTGCTAATTTATTCTGTAAAAGTATAAGACGTTACATCCATGAAGAGACTTATTTTACTTGTCGGGCTAATTCAGAACTGGAAAACTTCTCAAACTGAATTTATACCTAACAAAAACCCAATACCTATTACATAAATTTGTTACTCTTCGTATACTAAACAGTCATATTCACTAAAAATCATATCAGAGATTCAGGGGAATAGCTATATACTTACACAACATGCAACTGAGTTCCACGTAACTGTATGAAACTTGAAGAGTCTTAAATAAGTGTTATTTGCTCATATTATGCTTTTTCTCAGCATCTTCTTAGGCACTTCAAATGCACACTTCTCAGTACTGACTAATGGCAAGACTTGATGTAATATCATGGATTGTTCTTGCAATCAATTTTGTCGCTATAGCCTTCTTAAATAGGTAAACAGAGAAAAAGCTAATAACTTTTAATGGAAACAAAATCACTAGTTTTTTGTGAATGCTAATTGTTAGTCATTTCACTGCAAAGTGGCTGTGCGCACCTCACGAACATTGAGTAATAAAAATAAATAACAAGCTATATACTGTAAACACTATAAAAATAAATAAAAGAATATAAAAAATAAGAGAACCCATGGAGAAATGAGTTGTAGATTCGAAATTTAGCATGCCTGCAAATGTTGTTTAAAAGATTCTGCAAATGATTATAATTTCAGCGCCAATAATATTGTAGTGTTTATTGAATGCGCAAGAGAGAGGAGCATAGTGCATTATTTAAATGAAAAAAAGTTCTCGCTCATGGCAATTTTAGCTTTATTTTTCGGTTTGGTATTGCAACCTATATGCAAAGATGTCTTTGAAACGTAACTGATGGTGCTATTAACGGTTGTCTAATTGACAAAGATTTCGCATCATATGGCCTAAGAGAAGCAGTTGCTCATTTTGGCTAAAGCGGATCAGGTAAGGAACATACAAAATACTAGAGAAGATCTGCAATCAAAAGAACCGCCACGACTGCGCAAACGGAGTTGTGTTCATCCATTTACTGCAGTGAACTTCAGATACTATATGATCGTGAATACCACGCAGAGCGCAACGTTTCCGGCTGTTGGATCAATAATTTCATGATAGACTCATCATGAGAAAGGTCGGAGTCTGAGGTTCCCTCGAAGGGAATGACAGAGGAAAGCTTAAGATTTGTTATTCGAATAATGGCAAAATATATAAGGACTGTCTGCCTAAGGGAAAAAAAGGAGGGAGACTAGCTATATCGAGAGAACTTAAGGATTGTGGAGAGATTACAGTAAAGAGAATATTTTGTAACGCATTGCTGTCATGAACAAGAAATACACAAATAACTGTATGTATAAGGAATAAGGTAGATGAACCTCTTTCTGTGCAAATCAAAGTGGGAATATTTGCCTATGATTTGTAATACAAATTTATAACTCTGCTCTTTTTAATTTAAAAAGGCCAGAGGTAAAGTTAAAAGTGTGGGGGGACACCAGCGATGTACCATAGGTCAACTGGTAATGCCTTCCCATACTAACTCTTAAAAAAGGGGGGGGAATTGCAAGTTTTATAGGAATTTACATAGACTGAAGCTTTCCAAAAGGTCTAGAGTTTGCCTATTATGGTACATCGTGCAATCCCACAGTACGCCCTGCATCCAGTATTTATTAAAAATAATGATGTAGGACATAAGTAGATTACAAAATAGTCGGAATACAATTTGAGATTCACAAGATAAATTGAACATCTGATTTGGTGCAACAAAAATAGGAGATAAACATAATTAATAAACAGATAAACATAATGAGATAATTATAATTAGTACTGGCAACACAATGTTAAAATGAATTGTAATAATAATGCTAAAGAGGTGGGTGTCCATGGGTTATTTCAGATATATTGGTTTATTGCAGTTTATAAAGTTCACGAGGGGAGCCATTTTATCCATAATCACAGCATGTAAAAGTTCACTAAGCAGTATGTGGACTTACACTTGACAGAGATCTAGGGCCGTAGGAAGAGAGTCGTTGCATAATTTTCTGAAACTTTGGATACTGATGTTTATCTTTAATTAAAAACCTTTGGAATGCCAGGAGGTCAGTTCTTGGGGATTTTATGTGAATATCCTCAGTTAAGGGGCATGAGAAAGTGTAATGATCAGGAGTTCCCTGTTCCCCACATATACAGATATCAGAATTTGCCAAATTTCTTGCGTAGAAATATGTGGGGAAGGGTCCATGTCCTGTTATAAAGTAATTTAGTGAAGGATTCGAGTTCAGAGATGCGAAGCTTACATTGGGGATCAAGTTATATGTGCGTCTTCCCTGTGGAGCATTGTTCCACAAATCTTGCCAAGATTTTGAAGCAAGTTGTTTTAGTTTGGTACTTGAAATTTGAGCGAGGCCACGGAATGATGATTTCAGTACCATCTTGATTAATAGCTGCTTCTTTGGCTAGTTCATCTGCCTGATCATTACCAAAATGGCCACTATGTCCTTTGATCCATGAAATTTGAATTTTGTAGTTTGGAATTTTGCCAAGAAGAGAATTTATGTCAGGTATCAATGAAGAGGAAGGTAAGGGATTCTTAATAGCTAGAGTAGCTAGCTGCTTGAGAGTCGGATTTTATGCTAAATTCGTTGAGATTTTTTAGAATGGCTGTTTATTCGCTGCTTTTATAGCTGACAATGCCGCTTGGAAAACACTATTATTATTATGGAGATGGCCTTTTCATTTGATGATATTTGAGGGGGTAATTTGAAAAAAGACTGCGGAACCAACTTTTCCTTCAATTTTTGATCCATCAGTATAAGCAATTGGAGATGAACTTGAATTTTCTTCAGACGTGGGGAATATTATTTTGCTGAAGCGAAGCGAAGCGCTGGATGGATAAGATTGGGGTTAATTTTCTTTTCATAGTTGGATGGCCAAAAGGTTTGGTTGTTGAATTCTGCGGCTTGGTTAAGTTGAAGGACTTTCATATAGGTGCTTTTTCCATTTCTGCACTGATTGATAACGGAAGAGTACCAGCTAAAGTATCAAGTGCTATATTTGAAGTTGTTCGATACGCCCAAGTAATACAAAGAGTAAAAGGCCTTTGAATTGAATTTAAACATTTGATCTTTCTCACTGTCATTGGTTGTGCCCAAATTCCGGCTCCGTAATTTACCATTTTTGAGATGACTGTTTTTAGAAGAAGAATACGTGTTATATGGGGATTTAAGCCCCAGTTATATCCATGCATACGTCGTAGGCAGTTAGCTATTGATGTTGTACGAAGTTTAATATTTTGTAGATGAGGAATCCAGGAGAATTTCTTGTCGATTGTTAAACCGAGGTACTTGATTGTGTTCACAGATTTGATCTTTTGATTGTCAATTTTTAGAGCTAAAGCTTTAGTTATATTTTGTCCTGGTTTATGGATCACTAAGACTTGGGACTTACTATGTGAAATTTGTAGTTTTTGTTTTTGAATTTTGCAAAGTTGTTAAGTTAAATAACTGGAGTGTTTCGTTGCAATTATTCTGTAAAATGTCTCTGGTACGGCCACTTGTAATAAAAGCTACATCATCTGCAAAAGCTACAATTTTTGAGTGATCTGGCCATGGATAGGCAATGATGTTGTTGAAGCTGATATTCCAGAGATCTGCACTCATGCAAGACCCCTGAGGACAT